CCTGAGGGTGACAGCAAGTCACCTGCCGTGCTGGAATCTGTGCTGGAACTGGCACAGTGGGGCGGGGACACTGCTGGGAGCTGGGAGAGGCACAGGCCTGGTCTACAGCTGGCAGCATCTTGCACACGAGAGGAGTGGGCAGGTCTCAGCGGCAGACAGCTGCACTGCTTCCCTCCTCGTCCTCGCTCTGTGCCGGGCTGTATCCACCACCCTCAGGATCTGTAACGTGAGGACCCAGCAACCCTGAGAAGTGAAGAAGGAGTCTGGTCTCACTCTTTCTCCTATACTCACACCCAAGTGTTCTGTGCCGTTTACTGGGAAAGATATTAGAGCTGCGCATCCCTAATCCAAAACCCAAAGGCCAACATGATGCTCAGCAAGTCTGGGGTTTGGATAGGCCGGGTGAGGTAGCATGTGCTTGCCTTCCTAACTACGTAGGAGGCTGAAGCAAGAGGACTGTAAGATCTAGGCAGGGCTAGACAACTTACTGAGACCCTGTCTCAAACTTTTAAATAAACAAAAGTAAAAGGGCCAGGGGATGCACCTCAGTAGTAGAGCACTTGCATAGTTGTGCAAAGCCCTGGCTTTGGTTCCCAACACCTTAACCCCGAAGTATTTTTACAGTGAGCCATAAATTCCCAGGAACCAATGAAATGAAGCACTTAATTCGAAGGTCACCAGTGAGACTCCACATGGTGGCTGTCAACGGCTGCTCCCCCTGACCTGGGAAGCACTTGCTAAGGTACAAGGAAGCCATTAGGCAGATGTATGTTTGGCTGATGCGGTGAGAAAAAAAGATTCATTTCTGCATCGCTTTTTTTTTTTTTTTTTTTTGAGATAGGGTCTTGCTATGTACCCCAGGCTGGCCTTAAACTCACAGCGATTCTCCTGCCTCAGCCTCCTGAGTGCTGAGATTACAGGCATGAGCTACCATGCCTACCTGCACCACTTTTAAAAATGTACTGGGTTTCAGCTATCCCCTAGCTAGGTATCTTCCCCAAAGAACTTAAAATATCAGACTACAGGAAGTTTTTAGCAGCACAATTCGTAATGGGTAAACCCCAGAAGCAGCCTACACACACAGCCATCAACAGACAACTGAATAAAGAAAATGCAGTATCTGTATCATGGAATACTTCTTGGCTATAAAGAATGATAGATGAAACAGTTGTAGCAAAAATGGATACACCTGAAAAACACAGTGTTGCCTGAAATATACCAGACACATGAGCTTAAACACCGTATGGGGTCTCTTATCAGGTGAGGGAAAGCAGAGACAAAGACGGTGATAGAGGATGGATAGAAGGAGACGGGGTTGGGATCTCTCCCAACAGGGAAGGTGTCCAAGGGAACAGGGTTCGGGGTAGGAGCAGGGGAATGGGAAACGAGAAGAATGAAGACGACCCGTGTGCAGGAGCCTGACAACCCCCATGGAAGCACACACTACGGGCCACAACATGAGGTAAGATGAACAACACCAACAGCAATGAGAACCAGGACGGGGTAGGGGGGACCCGTCGTGTGTACGTGTGACCACCCCCCGAGGCCCCGTGAGCTACGTGGACTGCAGGCATGTACCAATGAAATTTTTAAAAAATTTTACCATGTACCAGGTTTTGCTGGGCGTGGTGGCACATGTCTGTAATCCCAGCACTCAGGAGGCTGAGGCAGAAGGGCACTGTGGGCCCATGAGGGCAAGACCAGCCTGGGCAACACAACAAGCCCCCATCTAAAAACGAAACCCCTAGTGTGAGCGAAGGAAACCCCCGTGCCACTCCGAACCATGACCCCACGCGCCACCAGGCTCCGCCTCTCCTTCCTCCTGCAGCAATCCTCTGCCTGAGACAGGCGCCGTGGCGTGCGGACACTCTCACTCCCGCCACATCCCAGCACCACCTTCTCCCCAGCCCTGCCCTGGGCTTCTGGGCCAATGGCAGCCGCCTTGCGGGCACTGCTCAGCCTTCTCCACCTGCCCCCCGCCCAGCGTCTCAGGCTACGCTGGGTAGACGTGACACTGCGTCCTCATCCAAGGTCAAAATGACCGTGAGAAGCTGCCGTGCATTGATTCAGGACGTGAGGCAGCCGCGGTGGGCAGACAGCACCATCGGGAAAGAGGGCTCCAGAGCCTCTGCAGACAGGGCCGGGACAGCAGGTCAGTGTGTCGGGCGAGCCCTGAGGGGACTGGGGCGAGGTGCCCTTCACTGCAGCACATCTTCCTCACTCAGACACAGAGCGTTTCCCACCACAGCCCGGGCACCCCGTGTCTCCAGCTCTGCCATCAGGCTCAAGGCTCCACAAGGAGGGGCACCACCAACTGCGCCCTTAGCCAGCCCAGGCCCCAGTGCAACTGTGCACACACTCATGCGTGGGTGCTGTGGGGAACAAATGTGTAAAGTCTGACACGAGGACCAGGGCTCGGGACACACACACACACACAGAGGAGGTGTATGGCTGGCCTGAAGGCAGTCATGAAAAGTCAGCAACAGCTGAAGGCTAAGGAAAGACATCTCATACAGTTATTCAAAACAGAAAATTAGGAACTCAGCACAGGGGGTGGGTGGCACACACCGTCATCCCGTCATCCCAGCACTCGGGAGGCTGAGGCAGAAAGATCTCTGTAAGTTTAAGCCTAGAATGCATAGCAAGACTCTGTCTCAACAAAACAAAAACAAAAAGCCCCCAGGTGAAGTCATCTTTTTGGATACACCTTCCCCTCATGTCTCATCCACACATTTAACAAGTTCATCATATTTCTGTATTTGCTATGAGCTCCCTGCCACATTTTGGTGGCAGGCAGGAAGAATGTCTTGTGCTTCCATCTGCCCTCTCCCACCACCTTCTGCAGGGGAAGAAGGCTTCCAAAAGCACTGCTCTTGGGAACGAGTGCCAGACTATACTTAGCACATAAAAGGCCTGCTTTCTTCTTCAGGAATGACTTGTTCTAAGCCTGACTTTCAGCTACACAACCCCTGGATTCTAGGGTAAACTTTTATTTTGACTTACTTGCCCATGAAATCATAGATCTGCCCAAAAGTAAAGGAGAGATGCATCTTTGGACATTCCAGACACTACGAGTCAGATCTGTACTCTTCTCCAAGCCCAGGACTCAAGGAGGCCCTGTCCACCAAAAGGAGCACAAAAGGGGGGCACCTGAAGCAGGGACCTCCCAGGGGCTTTTCTGTGCCACTCTGGGGGTGACTCGTGTGTGTGTGTGTGTGTGTGTGTGTGTGTGTGTGTGTGTGTGTATGTCCGCCCACGCACATGCTGTGCTAGGGACAGAACCCAGGTCTGTGCATGCTAGGCCAGCTCTCACCATGTGCCCAGGCCTGGTTTCATTGTCTGCAAAGCATGTGAACTGTACCCCATGACTGCAAGCCCCAGCCAGCTCTGAGGATAAAAAGGATAATTTCAACGCAAGTGTTTCATTCACCTGTGGGGCATGCTGCTGATACCTGGTAGCACAAGCTCGAATAATCCCTGCATTACTACATTCACACGAGTAATTACTCTTTGGTTGGTTTTGCGGTGGTTTCACTGTGTGGCTGGTTTTCCCCTTTTCTGTGGTACTGGAGACTGAGGCCAGAACTCGACTGCTGAGCCCCAACCCCACCCGGCAACGATCCCAGAGAAGCTCCTGGTGCCTGAGGATGCGTCTGCCAGGTCTTCTCTCTTGACAGCTACTCGAACAAAGCATAGAACCCTGGCTGGACAACCTCCCCGCCAACTCTAAACACACAGCTGCCTTCCAATCCTCAGCTGCTGACGAGAAATCCGCACTCGTCAAATCCTTGTGTCCCTGCAGGGAACGTGGTGTTTTTCTCTAGGTATGCTTCAGACTTTTTCCTTGCCTTTGTCAGACTGATTATGTCTCCAAGCATGGATTTCTTTCATTTATCCTGTTGGGGTTCACTGTTGAATTCATAAGTCTTCCTTTTGAATTAAGGTATTTCAGAGGGTTCAGCTCTATTAAATTTATTAACTACAGCTTAAAGATTGCATGACGATCTTAAGTGTTTGGGAAATTGATCAGGTAAATCCACAAAATCTTAAAGAAAAAGAACAGCAACAGTTTTAATTTGGGGGGCTGGGGTACAGGATCTCACTATGTATTCCAGGCTGACCTTGAACTTGTGGCAATCCTCTTGCCTCAGCCTCCAAGTGTGCAGGTGTGCACCACCAAACCTGGCAAGAAAAAGTAACTTTAAGGCCAGGTGTATATGCCCACAATCCCATGTACTCGGGAGGCTGAGGCAAAGGGATGACAAACACCAGCCTAAGCAGTTTAGTGATCCTCCATCTCAAAATAAAGCACGAGAGGGGCCGCGGGTGTGGCCCAGTGGCTCAGCGCTTGCCAAGCACGAGGAGCCCTGGGGTCAGTCCTCAGCACTGCGGAAAAAAGGGAAGCTAAGTTCAAAAACTCGAAACTTTAACTAATTGAACGTGGTCTACAGCACACGTGCTTTGTGCTCTCCTCAATCAAAAGCCCACTGTCCACAGGTAAGAGAGAGCCCCACGAGGCCACAGGGCCGAGGCCAACGTGGCCGCCTTGGAGACCCGCTACAGGTACCTGCTCAGTGCACTGCAGACCTCGCCAAGCTGTGCTGCCAGCCACACGGTGGCCAGAGGACATCACCACCGTCACCCATGGCACCTGGACACCCAGCCGTAGCGCTGTCGGGGCTCCAGCTGCAGTCCTTCTACCCAAGGTGTGCGTGACTTTGGCCACTGAGCCAGATCCTCTTAGCACACCAATTCCACGAGTCTGACTAGAGATCACTTGAGCCGGTCAAGGTGCTCAGAGAGACCAAACACTAAGGAAACAAATACCTTTTCTGAAGTCTTCTAGCAAGTGTTTAAACACTAAAATATTCTTTAAAGGTGATGTGAGATCTACGAAAACAGGAACAAGAACTGAAACACACAGCGTTTTGTGTTACACCCCTCTGATGAAAGCTGGTCACTAGCCAGCCGGGGCTGTGGGCCGTGGGCCAGCGACTCACCTCGAAGTTGTACTTCCGCATGTGGCTGAGGCGGCGGCAGTACAGGTAGAGCATGCCGATGCTGCTGCCCACGGCAATGTAGTCCTCGTTGGCGTCGAGTGCCGTGAGGTAGACCACCAGGGAGCGGAAGCCCTTCTGCACCTTGGCAGGGATGGCATTGAGGAGATAGTACAGCGGGCAGAACTCACGGAAGGTCACAGGGTCCGGCGTGGATGCCATGGCCACGGTTCCCACACAAGGTCTTCCAGCAGGAAAGGGGATGTGTGCTCGTCATCGAGGGAAACCTGGGGGCTGCAGAACAAGCATCGCAATCTTTCAATGTCCAACCACATGACCAAGAGGTGATGTTTAATAGTGAGAACACTGGCACACATGGCGCTGCAGGCCTACAAGTCCAGCACTGGGGAGGCTGAGGCAGGAGGACTGCCTGCTGAGAGTCTGGGCTCCATAATGACTTCAAGGTCAGTCTGAACTACATGGTAAGATCTTGTCTCAAAAAAAAAAAAAAAAAGAACCTAACTAATGCACCCTTCTTTAGCAGAGCTGAAGCTCTGGAAGAAGACTCAGAACTCTGCCCAAAGGCCACATGATTTAAGTGCCCAGGGCCACGGAGTGCCAAGTGCTGGTCCTGCTCAGGCCATAAACCAACAACTTCCTGACAGCCAGCCAGGCTCAGTGACAGATTCCCGCTTCAGAACCCTTGCATTGCACAGGTGCTCCGCAAAGGTGTGCAAGGCCACACCACACAGCCATCAGCACACACACGGCGGCTGCCAGGAGTCAGAGCGGGCAGTCGCCACGAGGCCACCACGCCAAAGACAGATGAACACTGACGCCGGTGGCAGCCAGCGCTGCTCCTCAGCCGAGCAGCTCTTAGCAGCCTGGCTCAGGAGCTCCTCGCATGGACCCCACAAGGGACGCTCCAGGCTGTCCCCACGTCGCACGTGAGCCGGGCCCCACTGGACCTCCCTGTCCATCTGCATGCACAGGACAGATGGACGTGGCACGGGGTTGTGGCCATGAACACCCACACGTGACGCAACAGCGCTTACTTAATTTGAAACAGTGTTTTCCTCTTAAGTTATAACTGCTCACTGTAGGAGATTTGCTAATACATGTATAGAAAAGTACAAAGCTGTGTGCGGTGGCGCACATCTGTGATCCCAGTGCTCAGGAGGCTGAGGCAGGAGAGTCACTGTGAGTTCAAGGCCAGCCAGGTCTACAAAGTGAGACCTGGCTCAAAAAACAATAAAGGAAAGTACAAAATAAGTAGAGTTTATTCATAATCCACCACACAGACGTGCTATATGGAAACTGTGTCGCTATGCTATGTATAGCGTATGTATGTGCAGATCTGATACATTAACAGCTATAGACGTGCGTATACACACATACACAAGAGCTTTTCACTTACTAAGTCAAGAGCATTTTCTACATCATTATTACGAAACATTCCTCTAGAACAGGCATGGTGAACCCTTCAGAGCTTTCAGGGATTAACAAAGAGCCCACTGCAGCACCCATGCCGTAGATTTGCCACCACTAGCCTAGAACATGACTTTCTATTGTTCTTTTGTTTTTGTTTTTTGGGATGGGATCTCACAATGTAGTTCGGGCTGGCCTTGAACTCCCTATGGAGCCCAGGTTGGCCTCAAATTCACAGCAATCCTCCTGCCTCAGCCTCCCAGTGCTGAGATTGTAAGAGTGAGCCACCACCTTCAGCTTAGAACACAATTTCTAAAGACTATAGAAAAAAATCAGTAAGGGCATGGTGGTGCACTCCTGTAATCCCGCCTCTCCAGAGGCTGAGGCAGGAGGACCCCTGTGTTTGAAGCCAGCAGGTGCTACCAAGTGAGTTCAAGGTCAGCCTGAACTGCATAGTGACACCTTGTCTCAAAAGACCAAAAAAAAGGGAAAGAGAAAAGAAAACTATCAAAGAACACACCCTATGTATAAACTAAAATTTTCTCAACCAACATGTTTTACTTCACCATCATAAAGACCACATACACAGAGCCAGGAAAATTCTTGCGGTGCATGTCAACAGGTAAAAATGTTGAGCTGTTTACTGTCTTCCAAATGGCCTTTCGGAGAGGTCACACTGATCAGTGTCTTCCTCATGATTTTGCAAAAGAGCTCATGCCCGGCACCTAGGAGAGTTGGGCACCTAGGTGGTTCCAGGTGGGCCCTCGGGCATCTGTGCACATCTGGGGAGCTCAGAGCCAGGCCTGTGCCCTTGCCCAGGGTTCAGATGGGAGGAAGGCAGAGGCCACTTCCCAGCAAAACACACCATAATCCCAGCACGCAGGAGGCTGAGGCAGGAGGACTGCCATGAGTTCGAGGCCAACCTAGGCTATATAGTGAGATCCTGCCTCAAAAAAACCAATGGGGGGCTGGGGATTTAGCTCAGCGGCATTTAGCTTAGCTTTCCCTGCCTGGCAAGCGCAAGGTCGTGAGTTCGATTCCCGATATGGAGGGGGGATACAACAACAATGGGCCATAGGGATGGGATGCTGCCTCCTGCCTTGGGCTAGGCCTGGGAGAAACACTTTAAAGGCAACAAATGCTCCACAGAGGCGGAGATGCCACACCTCCTTGGCCGGTTCTCACACAAGCTTCTGGGCTCTGCTCCACTGACCCCTGGCCCGAGTCCCACCACCATCAAGCTGGCCCCATCTCTCATGGAGAGGCAGCACCGTGACTGGATAATGACCTGGGAGTGAAAAAGCCCGGAGCTCCAATGCCAGTGCATTCCTACACTCTCTGTGGGGCCTGGTAGAATTACTAACGGCTGTAGATCTCCATTTACCTGTCTGAGAATAGGTTAGTAAAACCCACGTCATAGGCATTTACACTGGGTAAATGGCTAACGTCTGGAAAACACTTAAGGCGGGTGTGGTGGCGCACGCCTGTAATCCCAGCACTCGGGAGGCTGAGGCAGGAGGATCATTGTGAGTTCGAGACCAAGCTGGGCTACAAAGTGAGCTCAAGGCCAGCCTGAACTGCACATCAAGACCCTGTCTCAAACAGACAAAAAAAAAAAAAAAAAAACTTAACCTTCCGGCTACTTAAAAAAATAAATCCAACAAACAGGGCAATGTTAAATTGCCCAGCCTAGACTCAAACTTGTGATCCTCCTGCCTCAGCCTACTAGGGTGCTGGGATTACAGACATGTGCCACCTGGCTGCATGTCTGTCTTCTACACAGTTGCTTGGTCCGTGCTGTCCACGCTGGAAGAGGGACACAGTTTCAGCTGCTTCTTCCTCTCCATTCAGTCACTGGCCCATTCAGTTTGGTCCCTAGTACAGTGATGGCGAACCTCTGGGAGACCCAGTGCCGAAGTCACAACCCCAAACTCACTTATTTATTGCAAAATGCTAGGCCTGCAGTTAAACCTGAAGACTGTGTTGTAGTTTGGCAAGAACAACTCATATATTAACATCTCGTCTTAAAAGAAAATCGAATCACCATGTGCAGCAGGCTCGCCACCACTGCCCTAATACATCTCCCCAGCTCCCCACCACACTGCCCGTCCCTGGCTCAGGCCACCGCTGCTGCGGTCCAAACCCATCTGCCTCCCTCTCTCCCTCCCTCTCATCTGCTTGCCAAACAGGGACTTCCTGCTACGACAGCTGCTGGCCTAGAGGCCCTCACCCTCCACTCTACCCCACCCACAGATGCCAGCAAAGCGGCCACCCACCTCCTGGCCTCTCCACCCTCCGCCCTCGTCTCCGTCAGACACTGGCTCAGGCCTCTTCCAGCGGAGCAGCTCAGCCTGAGCAATCGAGGAAGAATAAAGGCTTCTCAGCTCGAGGTGTGGACAGTGGCCAAAGCTGATGAGGCCCTTCTTGCAGGTGGGGACTGCAGAACCCCAGCTAGCAGGAGGCATCAAGGGACCAGGCTGAGCAAGCCAACACCTCTGGCTTCTCTACCCTGCACAGAAAGCCGCTAATCCCCTCTCAGCCCCATCCCCAACATCTAACCCTTATCACCTAGTGAAGGCCCCGTGTCCAGACATGACTACCATGGCCGGAGGATTAAATTTCCACTACAAAATTCTGGGACACACCCAACCAAGGCAGAACTTTCTGATCTGTTAGCTGGTAAGATTCCCCTAGCAGCCAGGAGTAGTATCGAGAACTTGACACTTCAGCTCCTGTTATTTTCTCTTTAAAAATTCTCTTTCCTAGCCAGACCTGATGACACACACCTGTAATCCCAGCACGCAGGAGGTTGAAGCACGAGGATCAAAACTTTGAACCCAGCCTGGGCAATGTAGCAACTTACTGAGACCCCTTTTCCTCAAACTGACGATTTCCAAAACTTCACCTGATTTGATGCTGTTCCCTGACAGCTCCATAATCCCATACAAGAGGGCTCTGGGGTTGCAGTCAGGATAGCAGGATGCTGGGGATCCCCTAGAAACTGTCTGTGCCAAGCGGCACAGCACTTTGTCTAGAATAGGTGTTCAGGTGTACTCCGCAAGGTCTGAATCCCTAGCGTTGTCTGTTTGGCAAAACCGTGACACTACAACCCAAAGCAACTTCTACAGATGTAGGGAGGGAGTGCAGGGCCAGGCACCCCCTTGGATTCCAAACTGTCCTGGGACACGTGTGTAGTTCTGTGTTACAACACTTGCTGCTGCATGAAGCCCCAAGTTCCAGTTCCCAGAACCACAAAACAGAAAACAAAACCCTGTCACAGTCCTACACTAGTAACACATAACCAAAGTTTGAATCAGAAGTGTTCAACCAGGAATGGTACGGCACATACCTGTGATCTCAACACTCCTGAGCCTGAGGCAGGAGGATGGCCAGAAGTCCAAGGCCAGCCTTGGCACCTGAACTACACAGGGAGACCTTGTCTCAAAAAGCACAACAGGGCAGGGGATACAGCTCAGTGGCACAGTGCCTGCCTGGCAATGGCAAGTCCTGAGTTGGAGTCCCACAGAAAAACACACACAAGGGGCTGGGGATTTAGCTCAGAGGCACAGCGCCTGCCTGGCAAGCGCAAGGTCGTGAGTTCGGTTCCCGGTACCGGAGAAAAACCAAACCAAACAAAACAAAACAAAAAAAAGAAAAAAGAAAAAAAAAAGAAAAACACACACACAAAAAAACCCTTGAAAATAAAAAGGAAGATAGGGGCCAGGGATATAACTCAGTGGTACAGCGCCTGTCTGGCAAGCACAAAGCCCTGAGTTCAATTCTTGGGACCAAAAAAAAATTTTTTTAAAGAAAATTTGAAGCATTTGTAGGAAAATGGATGTACCTTGAGACTATGTTAAGTGAAAAAAATCAGACACCCAAATTTAAATACCACATGGTTTCTCTTATAAGAGAAACTAAAAATATATACAAAGAGTAAAATAAAAAATAAGGAGTTGGGAGACAGCTCTTTCACAAAGGGGAAGGAGATCAAGAATGGGAGGGAGCTAGGTGTGGTGGCGCACGCCTATAATCCCAGCACGCAGGAGGGTCACTGCTAGCTCCAGTCCAGCCTGGACTACACTGTGAGTTCAAGGCCAGCCTGAACGGCATAGTGAAAGTGCCTGAAGGGTGGTCCCTCACTCGCCCGTTTCAGGACACTTTCTATGGTCATTTTGGTCTCAAAAAGACCAAAAAATAGAGGGGCGTGGTGGCGCAACCCTGTAATCCCAGCACTCGGGAGGCTGAGGCAGGAGGATTGCAGCAAGTTCGAGGCCAGCCTGGGCTACGAAGCGAGTTCAAGGCCCGCCTGAACTGCAAAGCGAGACCCTATCTCAAAAAGACAAAAGAGAAAGAAAGAGAGACAGAGAAAGATGAAGAAAGAGAGGGTAGGGAAGGAGAGGGGACAGAAAAGGAAGATGTGTTCTGTACATGCACCAGCCCCACACAAGGAATGGAAACGTTCTGCACTGCAAACACGAACTAAGAAAGAACAGTGCGAGGGAGGGAAAGACGAGTCCTGCAGCTCAGACGACCAGGACTTAATGGTTACAAGGGACTCCGGTGGCTTCGCTCCCAGATCCTGCCTCGCCTGGGCGCTGGGCTCGAATCTCCCACAACTCCCTCGCTTGAAGTTTCTAGGGTCCCGGCTGCGGAGAGGTCGTCACCCCAAGCGCAAGCGCGACTGACCACCCCGGTAGACCGGGAAAGGCTGGCGCCCCAGATTCCACTAACAAGTGCAACAAACAGAAGAGAGTAAAATTCTGAGTCGCGGTGAGAAAGCCAGGACAAAGAGCAGGTCGGAGGAGAGGGAGGCGGGCGGGAGAAGCCGAAAGAGGGTCGCGGACCACGCGGGGGCGCGGCGAGGAGGGCAGGGGCGGGCGACCCCCGCTCAGGGCTGAGGCGCCCGCCCGCCCCTGGCAGAGCCCGGCGTCCCCTCCCGCTCCCCGGGGGGACGCCCCGTCTCTGAGCCCTGCTCCCCCTCTGCCTGCCGGGCCTCGCAGCAGCACGGGGGTCGCTCACTCGCCCGCTTCAGGGCACTTTCTGGACGCCCCCGGTGTCGAGGCCTGCGGCGGACGGAGGTG